ACGGATCCCTGGGAATCTGCCTTTGTACCCGCTCCGGGATCGGGAGGCTCTGGCCGGGCTGGATCGATGGGCCGAGGTCAGTTACACGAGGTTCAGCGAGGCCAAGACCCCACTAGGATCACAAGAACTCCCCACAACACTACAGGCTTGGGGATGAGTGGCTGGAAAGTTGCCTGGTGGAAAATGGTGTGGGAGTGCTGGTGGGCAGCTGGCTGAACATGAGCCAGTGTGTGCCCAGGTGGCCAAGAAGGCCAATGGCATCCTGGCCTGGATCAGAAACAGGGTGTCCAGCAAGAGTAGGGAAGTGATCGTGCCCCTGAGCTCAGCCCTGAGGAGGCCACAGCTTGAGTATGGGCTCAGTTTTGGTCACCACAGGATGAGAAAGACCTTGAGGGGCTGGAGTGGGTCCAGAGAAGGGCAGCAGAGCTGGGGAGGGCTCTGGGGAACATGGCTGGTGAGGAACAGCTGAGGGACCTGGGGCTGGTCAGTCTGGAGGAGGCTCAGGGGAGACCTTCTGGCTCTTACAGCTCCTGACAGGAGGCTGGAGTGAGGTGGGGGCTGGTCTCTTCTTTCTAGTGAACAGCAATAGGACAAGAGGCAATGGGCTGAAGTTGCACCAGGGCAGGTTTTGATTGAATATTAGGAAGAATTTCTTTCCTGGCACAGTGGGGAGGCCTGGGCCCAGGCTGCCCAGGGAGGTGGTAGTCCCCATCCCTAGAGGAGTTAAAATGTGTGGACGTGGCACTAGAGGACATGGTTTAGTGGTCACGGTAGTGTTGGGTTGATGGTCTCGGTGATCACACAGGTCTAATAATTCTGTGATTTTTTCCCCCTCTTCTAACACACACAGTGTCATCAGAGAACACCCAACTGACCACAACTTCAGTCTGTTGACAGGGTATTTGCTGACTGGGGCTTCCTACAACACTCTCCAGAAATCACTGATTCCATACCAACATTTTTGGTGTGACTTTGATGTGATAGAAAGGTTGAGAGATTCTTCCCTTTCAGGATCATGGGTCTCTTTGTTAATTTTCACAGTAAGCACAGGGATCAGAAGTCACTGCTGTCAAACACAATTTACTACCTCCTGGTGAGCATCATCACCTGAACATGCTCTGCTTACACTTGGAGACTCTCTATCATGACACCCAAACCACAGCAGAAGAAATATTTTTCCAATTCATTTTTATTTTGGTTTCCATTGTTTACAGCATTAATAGGGGAATAATTCATGCAAATTTATCACCTTAAATACAGCAGAGAGAAAAGTCACTGGTAAGAGTATTCCAAAGAGCTCCATCAACATAACACAATAAGGAAATAAAGTAGCAGCAATAAGATAAAGTGCATTTAGCTGACCCTCCTTAGTAAGAGTTTGGGGAAGTTTGGGGTTGGAATCACTTGTTCTAAGGATCAGTTTATCACTCCTATGAAAACTGGAATGCCACTGATGGCGCTTGTTCCTCACCACTCTGGATTAAGGTACAGCTGTATTTTCAGAGGAATCCAGCTCACAGGCCCTTCTGTTAAAAGTTTGATTCTCAATCACTCGGGCTTCTAGGGACAAGGGTTACACACATGCTTCAAAATTCTTCCCTCCCCTGTGAGCAGCTGTGCTTCAGGCCCGCCGGTGGTTCTCTCCCCTCTCTGCAGGTCAGGTGTCAGCACTGCAGCAACAATGCTATCACCAAAATCTGAACGTGTCAGAAACACACGTTGGCCAGACACCAGATTCTGAGAACCCACCCATCTCTTTTCCCTTACAGATCAGACACTGGCTTAAAGATCAGCTCGTTTATCAGATTTCCCCTAAAGGCCTCTGAACAGATGCTAACACCATGCTCTTCAAAAGCAAGGTCAGCACTTTAGGTGGCCTAGAGTGCTGAACAATGTTTCATCATCTCCCTCTACCTGGAATCAGCCATTTCCTGCTGCACCAGGGATCTGCTTCACATCCTCACCCCCAGGCACAGAGCATGGCCTGTGACCAGTGTGTAGATGACAGCCTGAGAGACTGGGGATCCAAACTTACTCATCTAATACCTGCAGCAGTGACACTGGAAGATTCCACTCACTTCCTCCCACTGCTCAGTGGCTCTGAATTCAGCCAGGACCTGCTCAAAGACAGCCCATATTCTCTGGTGTCTGACACTGGATGGATTCAGGTTGTTGACAACCTCAGAACTACAGATCTGATTCTGGATTCCTCAGATACTTTGTGGGGAACAGGAAGGCTATACCAAACACGTGGCAAAACACTGACCCACCAAGTGGAAAAGAAAATTTGCAACATAATCCTGGTACTCCTGAAATCCGTGGGAATTTCTCCTCTGTCAATTCCAACAGGAAGAAACTGAAGTTCTCAAAATTCCCAAATCTTGTACTCCAAATTAAAAACTGCTTCAGGTCAAAACCCAATGATTCATCTCATCTATTTGCAAATAAAGAATGTCTTTTAAAAAGTAAGTTGCTGTAACCCATTCTTGCCCTGGCATGAAAAGCAAGGGACAGGTCTCCCCAGAGGGGCTGCACTTACCAGCTCATTCTCACACTTTTAACAGAAGCATCAACTCATACTGCTGCACGGGCTGTAACATCCTATGGGAACTCTGCACGGAGCAAAATCTCTTACAGCTTATTATCCACCTGCTGTTCTCCTGGCCAAATAGTGGTAATGGAATTCCAAAGGCCTGCTTCCAAAAACACAGCTGTGCACTTAAAAAAAAAATACACCCACCCCAAAACCCCCTATTCATCAACTTCTCTCCTGAGGCAGTTTATTACATTCTGTCCACTGGCTTCTCTTTCCTATTTTTCTTCCTCAGCAAGCTGCCACGTTACCAGTGCTACCTCCTTCATGCCCTTAGAGCTCTGAGGAGGAAGAAACTAACTCCAACACTACTAAGCTTACCACAGCAAAACCTCAGCTCCTCTTGCTCTAGAGGAGAGCTGGGTTTTGTTCACAGGTTTAAACACACAGGAATAAACCTTTCTATGAAGGGACATGGGGATCCTCCACTAAGGGAACACCAGCCCAGGAGATGGGCCTGCCCGGGCTGTGAGTGTGCTGTGAAACCATCGTGTTAGACAAACAGCTGCATGTCACACACACACCTGGGGCTTGGAAGTCAGAAGTTCTTTCTTCACTCAGTAAAATGGATGACTCCATAAAGACACGTCAGAATAACCTGATAAACATTTGTGTGTTTGTTTGGTTTAGATTTGTTACTGCACTTGATTTTGCTTTAAAAGCCCCCTGCAAATGTACGAAGCACACGTTCCTTCTGCAGCAGCCTGGTCTCACAAGGAAAAATGAGAGTTATGCACAGCTAGTGTTTAGAGGTGGGACACGAAACGGGGAAGCAGAATCCTACTGTTCACACAGCACCTGGAAACACAGCAATAGCCTTTCGCTCGTTCCCGGCGGGGAATTCCATCACCCACCACGTCCTCTGCAGTGACTAAGGGAGTGCTGAAGGGCCACTGGGGTTCCTCCTCTCCCACACTATCTGCTTTGCTGCAGGTACTGGTGCGTGAACATGTTGAGCTCGCTGTCAAGCCAGCCTGCTTTATTCCTGTGAGGACAGAAAGTCTCCATGAGGTGAGTAAAACAGCTCCTGCCGAGGCAATCTGACCAAAGAGCATCACAGGTCCTTCCAAGGTGCTGCTCCACTCCTGGCCCTTCCCCAGGGCAGGAACTCTTCCCTGCTAACAGGGCCTGGGCTCTGAGGTTCAAACCGACAGCTTGGTCACAACCTCACATTGATCTTATTGCGTAGAGAAGGAATGTCTGAAAAATTCTTCCCCCCAGCCTTGCAAGGTAAAGAAAAACATCAGGCAGCTGTGTACAAACACGAGGCTGAGCCTTTTTTATAACAGCCCGGAGGAGCCTCCAGAAGACTGTATGCTTTGGTAAATGGCAAGGAACTGTAATTCCAAACCAGCCAAAAACAAGAAGGAAAAGGTGTTTCTTTGGTGATACAAGATCTAAATGACTGTTGACAGTATGTGGAAAAGTAGGCAGTGGAAGGGAACATGACTTGGTAGGGGAAGACGCTGATGTCTGCACATGGGACACTGGGAGGGAAGGACTGTGCTCAGAGTCATGCCCTAATGAACATCTCGTCACAATCACAAGAAAGACAATTGAATGCAAACATCTGTGTATATGGGATAATAAAATCTCACCTGAGCAGTTTTGCTTTGCTCTGCAATGAATCCAGAACTTCTATTTTTTTATTCATGGCAGAAATTTCCTGCTCAAGATTCTCCCGGGTGACATCCACTTGCTGACACAAATGAGCGAACGTTCCAGCGAGCTCCCTGTGAAACAGGGAGAAGAGCTGGATACACCAAGAACATCAAGCAGGAAATTCAAGGAATAAACCCATTTGATGTATAGTGCTGACAACACTGACTCAGGTGTTCATCCTTCCATTTCTGCACAAGAATATGTTAGAGCATCAGAGCAACTTGATTGGAGAGGCAGAAATACATTAGGACTAATGCTTCACAGCACCCAAATATTACACTGGTGATTCAAAGAACCAGAATATTATTTTAAAACACATGCAGCATTACACATTTTAAAATCTGGCATTCCGTATACAGACTCAACCTGTTTGAAGATGGAATGTCATTAAACAAAACCCAAACGACAGGATTTGGATAAGGTTTTGGCTGAAGGTAGGGAACTCACTGTTGGACTTGGTGGCTGCAGTTAGAGCCGGTGTAGCTGACGATGAGCTGCAGCTTCTCCCCAGCATACTCCACGAACTGCCGTTTGAAAGCTCTCTCCTTGGCTTTTGTGGTCCAGGTGAGGCGCTCGTACACGTAGAGGAGCCCATAAAGGCCAAAGGAGAGAGCGATCAGCCTCCACCCCACAGCCTTCCACACCTAGGGAAAGCACAGGGGAAAACAAACACCGGGATCACCACCTAGGAACGACGCGACCTCCTGTCGACGGCGCACAGCTAGATTGGAGGCATGTGAAAATGAGCTGGACAGACAGCCCCGACTCACAAGTGGTCTCAGTGGTCAAACAGCTCACTACTGAGATCCAGTCTCCAAAACAAACACACCCAACCTCAGCTCCTGGAGCTCTGTACACGTTAACCTTTCCAGCACCTTTCAATTACATCTGCAAGTGCAAACGAACCTGGTCTTGTCACCAGAATCCCTGCTTCCAAAGTTCAAGATCTCCCCTTTGATAAACCACCCACCCCTGGACACCAGAACAGCAGGTAGGTGTGAAACTGGCACTATGGAAACTTAGATTCTCCCTGCAACAGGAACTGGGGTTACCACACAACCTGAGCTAGATCTTTAATGCCCCTGCAGTCTGGGGAGATTTGAGATTCAAAATAGTCATTATTTTCAAAAGACAGAGGAGCAGAAGTGCTGATTTGCTCTGAAATAATTTAGGCATAGTATCTAAACTTGAGTACTCTCCTTCTGTTCCAGGAAGGGACAGATGATCAGAGACTCTTAGCAGGTATTGTCCTGATTCGCAGAAGTGCTGATTTGCTCTGAAATAATTTAGGCATAGTATCTAAACTTGAGTACTCTCCTCCCGTTCCAGGAAGGAAGAGACTCTTAGCAGGTATTTTCCTGATTCCTCTGTAAATGAGGAAAGAAAAATATGGAATTTTTTATTTTTATTCTCACAAAACAATGAGACTATTTAATGCTTTTGTAACATACTTTGAAGGGTTATCTTCACAACAACCCTGGCTCCAAGCCTAACTAATATGCAAAGTAAGCTCTGTTTACACTCAAATGGAAGATCAACAAGGAAACTTTCAGCCTGTGAACAGTAAATACTGATGGGATGCAGCAGCGCGAGCGCTTCTCAAGCCAGTGCCCCAATTCTAGTTATGGAATGCTGCTCAGATTGTCAACGCACCACACCACCAACCACGATGATCCCCATGGAAGTTCGGGAAGTTAAGGACGCCAGTCCAGTCACCATCGACACCATAAGCTCTTCCTGGGTCATGGAGCCCTGAGGTAAAGGAGGCAGACTGGGATTCGCTGGTGTTAAAGGGCGCTGCACCTGGTTAGACAAGCAGTGACAACAGAAGAATGGAGAGTGAGAGGAGACAAGCCACTGCCCTTCCCACCACAGAGACTTGAGCAGCCAGAGGCACCATGACTACCACATCTACCCCAACCACTCAACGAGGTGTCTCACCTGGTCATTATAGCCCAACAAGGCCCGACGGCCGTTCTTTGGTCCCAAAAACCTGTTCACCAGCATCGTCCATCCAAGAGAGAAATGGAATTCTATGTCCTCTTGGAAGTCAGCACAAAGCTTGTCACAGTTCAGATCGTAGCTGAGCGTGAAGCACTGTCGGGGAATTAGCATGTCTATCTGGCCCCGCAGAGAGACTGGGAGAAGGGGCTTTAAGCCATCTGCACAGGCAGAAAAGAAACACGGTCCAAAAACGGCTCTCGAGTTCACAAGAATTAACTGAACTTGTATTCTGCAATCAGGGTGGTTATGGGTTATTCTATCCTCATCACTTATTTTTCTTAGTACCTTAAAACTCCTAAAGCTAAGGAAGAGATAGATCATGAATTACTGTTCAGTTCTTAGCTCTTCAGATTGACTCAGATCATCTTTCCATGGGCCCTCCTAAATCCTTACAGGTAGCTAGTGAACTTTACAGTTTAACAATAATTTGGAAAACAGAATCTGAAGGTCAATTCTACAAGCGTTTAAGCACCATACTCCTGTTCTGTTCAGATAGGCACCTAGCTACAAGGCATTCCCATTTCATTAGGATCTTGCTCTAAGAATCTCACATCTCCCAAGTCACAGTTCCTCTGTCACAAGGACCACGCTGATTGCATAGATGAGCAAATTCAGAGAATGGAAGCAGCACTTGATCCTCCACACAACTGCATTACTCATCAAGATGGAAGCTAAGAAGATGCCAGCCACCCATCAGCCACCAGGTTACAGAGGAACCAGAACATCTACCACTGCTCTTCAAGGAAAGAGAAAGGCAACGACCACCCGTGGATCTGACCTATCATCTCCTGCTGCATGGTCTGCAGGGAAGCTGTGATGGCATTGGAGCAGCGATCCGACATGTTGCGGCCCAGGCCTTCCTCAATGTGTTTATGCAGCTCCTGAGGAACACAGAAAGGGTTATTAAGCTTAAAATAGACACAGGGAAGGTGCAGACTGCAGATGCTAGAGCCTGCCAGCTAAACCTCACCCTCTGAGCAGGGGCATGCACTCTGTCTGCATGCAGAGAGAGAGAAGAAAAAGCAAATAAAAAAAATCTCACGTGTACTCCATAGTCTAGGAAAAGTTCTATCTGTAATTTGATACATCATATATGTATTCATTTGTCACTGAGATTATTAAAAAAAATATATCTATTCCTTTCCTATTTGTTTTAAAAAAAAAGTTCAAGAGAGAAGAAAAAGCAAATAAAAAAAATCTCACGTGTACTCCATAGTCTAGGAAAAGTTCTATCTATATAATTTGATACATCATATATGTATCCATTTATCACTGAGATTATTAAAAAAAAAATATCTATTCCTTTCCTATTTGTTTAAAAACAAAAGTTCACTTTTTACAGAAGCTATCCAAACACAAGAGATATTCTAACAGAAGATACTTGGCACGTGAGAAGCTTAGCTCATACTGGAAGACTGTTAAGCATCTCAAAGAGCTGGCAAAATTACTGACCCGGAGTGAAAAAAGGCCTCTTTAAATTCATTAAGCAACCTGTACAAAGCAAACCTCACTTACACTCTTGTAAACTTTAAGAACTACTTGAGATGGATGGAAGTCTGCTTGGTACTCATCCACCAACACTGAAAGCCGCCTGATTTCCTCTGCCATGGCATTTGACACCTAGAGAAGAGCAGAGGACAGTTTGTGTGTGGACCTCCCCCTGCAGACAGGCATTTCTCAGGAAGCCCTGCAGAGCACCAGGCACGACCACCACACAGCACGTGCAGCCCCTGCAAAATGCAGCAGTGGTGACCTGCAAAGCAAGGAGATGGCTGAGCAGTGCATAGGCCTGTGCTCTGTATAACAACACCAACAAAGACTGAGGCAATATAAGACTTGCAAAAATGAATAGGCCTTTTCTGTACCATAGTAAAAGTGACATGTTACTGTTGATAGTAAGAAAATTGACATTATTCTAGATTAAAATAAAGAAACCTACAATATGCTTCTAATAAAATATATCTGAGTCTTGCTGAAAGTTTCCCCCAAGTATTCCACTCTTCATCTTATTACCTCAGGAGAAAAAGAACAAAGCAAATCAAACTTCTTCTGAAGGCATTTCTTCTCTTCCCATCTCTAGCTCCCACAGTTCTAGTCCTTCAAACCCTTGTCAGCACTCTGCATTTTTCCCACCGTGCTGGCAGCTGTTTCAGACAACCTGTTTCTCTGCAGTCCTCCTCCTCACCTGCCTCTCCACTTCTTCTGTGATCTGTTTTATTTTCCGTTTGTAGTCCTGAGTGAGGAGCTCCAGCTGTTTGTCAATAAACCCCAAACGCTCCTGTCGCTCCTCTCGCATTTCCAGACAGTAAACCCTGGTGGAACATAAAGTGCCCATTAAAAAGCCAGATAAATGCATTTTCCATCTACAAATACAATTTGAGTGCCAGAAACAAGACAGATTCTCCTGCCCAAGAACAAAACGTGTCAGTTTCTACACTACACTACACACATACAGCGTGGGACAGGAGAGCTTCTTTTCCCAATATCTTCCCAATTCCCTAGAAGCAAGACTGCTAGTACGTGTCCTTCCCACTCCCAAACATGCTGTATTCTGCTTTGCATTTTAAACACGTGTATTCCCTTAACCTTCTCCCAGAACAGAAGCTTCAGGTACACAAGCTCTGAGCACCAGCTCTCCTCACCGCTGCTCCTGGGCAGCAACGTGCACGGAATCCATGATGAGACGAACGTCTTCCGCAATCTGCTTCGCTCTCACCGTGTGCTGCTCGAATTTTGTCTTCACTGCTGACTGTGAGATACATTCCTGTATACAAAAGGCAGCCCGAGATTAGCAACAAGCCCATGTGGGACTTGTTTCACAATTTCTCCTTCCCATATAATCTGTTTCCAAAATAGAGTCCCACTCCACAGTTACAAACCCTAGTGCCCAGCCTTTCAGGAGTAAAATCCAAGCAGAGGGTCAGTGTAGACAACACTCACCTCAAATCTTCTCTCGAAGTTCTGAAACTCAAACATTCTTACTTGAAATCCATCTGCCAACGCTCCACCTGAGAGAATCCAAGTACAAAACAACCACTGAAGTTTTGAGACAGCAGTCAGACACCTCACATCAGGAGATGCTCCTGCTTTACCTTGAAGCCAATGCAAAAGCTCTGCTAAGACACCTCTTTGCTTTTGACTGCTCTATTAATAATCTGACCTACCCCAATTCTACTCATCTTCTGGAATAAAATACTCTCTAATTCCCTATAAGAAAAGGGAAGGTTTCCATTAGCTCTCCTCACCTCCTTCGGGCATCCCTTGAGCCCTCTGGATCCTGGCGTTCAGCACTTCCTTTGCCGACACAAAGAAGATGCGATCCCCGGCCTGGGCTCGATCCACCACGCCCAGCTCGTCCACCAGGAAGCTGGTACAGCGCTCCATGTGCTGCCGCCGCACCTGAGGGACAAGGGACACGCCCCGCGGGCACTCACACCCCCTCCCCGCCACCTCCCGACAGCCAGGCCAGGCGCCCAGGGGCCCTCTGCTGGTCTAGGCTGCCAATACAAAAGAATGAAAAAACCCCTGTTGGCTTAGGGAGTCTTCCAGAGGTTACCCAAGTGATCCAACTTCAAAAGGTCCCTGTGAAACTCCTGACTTTCAGCTCAGAAATTTCAAGCTCACTAGTCTATGCTCCCTCTGTCCTCCACACTGTGGTAATAAAAACTGCCTGTGAGCCCTGCTCAGGGGTAGTCACAAGATGTGTGTTACCAACACCCTCCTAAATCCCAACACGAAAGCTCTGCACCAGGAGGCTGAAATGGGAAAATCAGCTCAGCCACACCTGACACAACCCCCAAGGACCGGAGTCAGAACAGACTCTGTAACACCCACACAAAGAGAAGGAGTTCAAACCCATCACAGACCTCTTCCATGTACTCCGGCTCAGAGGCGGACGCATCCCAGCGGTTATTTAGAATAAATATGTTAGGTCGAGACAGACGTTCGTTCACCTTGTGGAAGAACTGCTTCTCCTAAGCAAAACAGAACAAAACCCCTTAAGATTAATACACCAACATTTTTAAACTAAAAGTTTGAAGCCAAATTCACAGAACAAGTGGACTTGAACGTACGGTTTGCATCAGAGTCGATTCGGAGTTGGCCACCAGGACAAACACATCAGCGTCCAGACAGAATTTGTCAATCCAGCTGTCCAGCTCTGTGGTTACATCAATGCCAGGGCTGGCAATAAAAACAGAGAGGTTACTGTTCTGTGGAAACAGCAAAAGCAGAATTTAAAAAGTTAGTAAGCAATGTGTTTCTGGTTTTCAGGGCATTAATTTCCCATGTCTGAGCTACGCTGTCCTGAGGTGACAGCACAGACTAAAGGGAAGCACCAACCAGGAGAAACACTGACTGCAGCAGAGGACCTCAGACACTGTCAGAGACCACAACAGGGCAAATTTCCTTGAGGTTTGTTAAAGTTGTATTTGGAGCCACTTCTGTAAGTAATCTGTGGCAAGGAGGAAGGGGAAGAAAGGTATTTCTCACCTGTCCATCAGCACCAGGTCATCTTTTAAGAGAGGACATTTGGAATTGGGCCACATCACACTGACCAGGCTGCCAGCATTCAGAAGTTCATCCTGATGAAGGGCGTGAGCCAGCTGGTTTACTGTCTATTAAAAAGATGGGTAATTTATAACATTGCCTGTATACTAAGACCTATTAACACAATTATCTCCCCTTCAGGGCTCTTCACAGACTATTTCAGACAAAACCCAGCTTCAAATCACTTTCTCCATGGGAGGATTTCCATATAAAACTTGCCTGAGTCTCCTAGTCAAAAAGCAAGTACCTAGGGAGAGTGTAAGAGAAAATTTCCTGTCAAGAAAGGCTACTAAAGAATTATCACAAAGTCTGTGCCTCCTGTCAGTCACACAGAGCTTGGAATGCCCAAGGAATTGTTTTGACTCTCTATCATCAACAAATACAACTATTTTTTCATACCACGAACAAGTTCCATCCTGTCACTTGCTCCATTCCTCCTTTCCTACACCTAATAAAAACCTGAGGAATTGTTTTGACTCTCTATCATCAACAAATACAACTATTTTTTCATACCACGAACAAGTTCCAAGCTCCATTCCTCCTTTCTTACACCTAACAAAAACCTGCTCTTCATCTCCACTCCTTTAATGATTAAAATCCTTAACTGCTGAATTTATTCAGAGTGCTTGAATTTTCTTGTTCCTTCCCTCTTCTGGCACTTCTAAAGAACTCTTCTCTGTTATATGATGCTTAAGGGAATTGTACCTTAACATTCTTCTTCTCCTCTGAGCCTTCAGTCAGCAGAAAAGCTTCATGTCCATCTGTCCCCTCCACACGCAGGAAGCAGTTGGTGGTGTGCCCTATCCCTGAGGGAAGGACCTTGTCCCACAGCATAGCGTTTATGACAGTGCTTTTCCCATTGCTTGTCCTGCAGGCAGATGTGAATGGTCAGGCTGGGCTGAGGTTCAGGTACACTCCTACTGACACTGCAGAGAGCAAGTTCTCTAAGCCCACGCAGCATCACAAGCACTAACAATTTAGATGCCAGAGACAACCTACAACAAGACTTTTCTATTGCCTTATTTTAATTCTCCCAAACTGAAGAATTATGTGCTGAAATATTTGTTCCCAATTTACAAGCAGACTAGTACCAGGGACATGCACATTACATGCAAAAGCTGCAGCACCAGTGCTTCTATAAATATTTTTTACTGGCTACAAAGCTAAAGATGCCAGTTGCTTAACTGAGCAGGGAGTGTAGGCAAGATAAGCACGTGACTCACCTTCCAAAAAAAGCAACTTTCATGTGTCGTCTTGCCAATACTTCACTAATGCCACTGACTTTTGACAGGTAGCCTTTGACTTCCAGTACCTGCTCCTCTGTGGTGACAGGATCAAGCTCTGTATTCTTGTGTGTTTCTAAAACCAAAACACATTGTCTCTGAATGGCAGAAGCCCTTTGCCTCAGTACTGGGTGATGTACTCAGTACCCTTCACATTGGAGCATGCAAAACTAAATGTTTGTCTGTCCCTAAGACCTCATGGGTAATCTTGACACATGCAACTACACCCTGAAGCAATTCTGCACCATTTATCAGCTGATCTCTTTTGTGTATCTAATAATCACTCTCATCCTTAGGACTGTCTTAAACAGAACACTGTCAACACTCCAACAACCTTAAAAGAAAAATCTTCTGTGTCTTAAGCTGTTAAAGCCAATTACTGGCATAAGCTCCACGTCACTAGCAACGACATACCAAGGCAAGAATACTGAAAGAATTATAGCCAAATAAACTAAAGGGTCTTGTATAGTTTAAGAAACTCCCAAACAACATAAAACCCAAGCAGAGCTCACCAACTAGTTCAGTTTCCTAACACGTAAACTTCTCAACTTTGAAAAATGAACCCTCAACTCCACTTAAATTCAGTAAAATACATTTCTGCTCTTCTTGTAAATATTGATAGATAAACAGATCTTTAATTGAAAGCACAGTGTTTTATTGTATTTGTATGGGGGAAGTGTATGTGGGGAAAACACTGTGACACACTTGTAGTTTAGGAATTCCGCTTACCCTCCAGGAATGAGGAGCTCTCATTGATGTATGCAGCCAGCTGTTCAAAGATGCCATTGATTTTCTTCTTTGCAGTGACAAAATGCTTAAGTGGAGAAGCATTTACTTCAGCCATGTGTCTTTTATCCTTCTTCACTGCAACTATTGACTTGGAACGGGTAAACAACAGGGACATTGCGCTACAGGGAGAAAGCCAGTAAATAATGGTGGCTCACCAAGTGCCGACAGCTATCCAGACAGGCAACTTACTGACAACCGGATAAACACACATCTAAAACACACCCTTCTCTCTCAACAAAGAAATCATTCCACTTTCTACGACTGGAGATTACTCACATATCAGAAATTTAAAATTCCTCTTTCCTTCTCCCTTCCGATAGCCAGCCCCCCCGCAAGTACTACTGCCCCTCCTCCGCTTACTTTGAGTTACGTTTTCACAGGCCAGGCATGATCAGCTCGAGTTCCTCTTGAACGTGAACGACTGCAGGCTTCCAGCCTCCTCCCTCGCCTCCGTCCCGCAGCCCTTCCAGCGACGCCGCGTCCACCCCGTCCCCGTCCCTGCGGCAGAGGGATGCGGTCGGGGGCTGCCGAGCTCCGGGGCCGGGCGGGCTCG